GGGGAGGACAAAAGTGTAAATGACCATGCACTAGGGAAGTGTTAGCAACCAACAATACACACTAGTTTATTTCTATTTAATCCAAAGTCATGAAAACAAATTCCTTACATTTACATGAGGGAGACAAATTGAAATTAGGGTACTGAATGGTTAAAAGAGGTCTATGATACAAAATCATTCAGATGATTTTAGAACCATTAAGAGACAAAAATTTTTTTTGCTAAACAAGATTTCACATATTAACGATTCATATGTGGTCTCTTAATGGAACTATTAAGAGATAAACAAACAACCCATAAGTTATAAAAGAGTTTATTTCTAATTCTATGATAATAATACTGTATAGTTTGAAATCAACATTGCATTGAAGTTTTGGTTGATGTTAGATGGTGAAGGTTCAATCAAAATACTGCTTGGTTGGTATAACCATTAAACTTGTGAACTTCCCATGGAAGATGTGGTTGAGGGTTGGTGTTGGGGTTAGGGTTAGGGGTACATTGACATTAATGGGTTCAATTGAACCACATCCACATGAGGGGTAATATTGGAATTAAATTGTTATACAGATTGTATTATATAAGTTTTACATTAAAATTAACATATTTTAATCTGATAATAGGTATATTGATCAATTTTCAAGATCTTTACATGTGGAGTACAAATCTCTTGGTATAGATGTTCAGTGTCAGGTATTTCTTGATCTTTTTTCTTTCATTTTTGTCTTATGCTTCGACACATTTGATCACATATATTATAATAAAGATTCAATGTTGATAATTACAGGGTTCAACTCATTCATATAAGAGGTTTGTGTTTGAGGGTTTATGAACCAGTTTGTTAGTTATTTCTCTTGGCCAAATATCATTTCAGTTCCTTTTTATCAGTATTATCATATTCTTAGCATTTTTGGTGATAAATCTGTCACTTTCCATGTCTTTCTCAAGAGTTTTCATGCAGTTGCAAGTTGTTTTTAACCTAAAATTTGTTTTCAGGTACCATTATATGTATCTACAAACATGGCATCACAAGTTGCATTCGTTGAAAAATCATCTTTATTCATACCAACAGCTGACCAATATGTGAAAGCTGCAATAAGACAAATAGGATATGAATCTCGTTGTACACCATATTGGGCTCACTCGGTTCAATGGTTCTTCGCTTTGTTGGCCCCTGATTCTCTTCTGGACGCGTGGCGCCTATCAATTGGCATTAAACGTAGGGGGCATATTGCATAATTATTACATTGTATTTACTGTATTTTCAATCCCTGTAACTATTGAGATCTTGTCATGTTAAACTTTTATGAGAATTAGGTCTTGTAAGACTTAATAGCTCGTCTCATATTAATTATTCAATAAAGTTTTGTTTAACAAGTTTTCTGCAAAGCCGTAATAGCCCAACCTTAATTTAAATAACCAAAAAAAATACAATTCATAATAATTAACCATAAATGATAAAATTGTTTTTGGACCAAATATGAGCCTCAGTGGTTGTGAATGACTGATTTATTCGATCTTGGTTCCAAGATCCGTTCGGATCAGACCAGGATGAATGAGATTGGTTTGACCTCTCGCTCGGAATTAACCCACCGCCGACAGATGTCGCATGCCATGTTTCGTGAACAACTATGTTCGAGAATGAATGAATTTTGTTAATGTTTAATAAACTGTGAATTATCTTCAATTTTTTTTTAATTTTAGTTGTGAATGAAATGGGTTATGGGTCAACAACTATACCTTCCAAAGCCACAAAAACGGAAGTTAGGTCACTACCAAATTCTGTAGAAGCATTTAATTCAAGGAAAAAAAGAAAGATGAAAACATAATTACCATCTTTATATTCATTTTTATTGATTTTTTAAATAATTGTTTAATCTTGAAGTATTTTTCAAAAGAGACAAGATATTTTTATATGCAACTTATTTAATATTATACCTTATAGAATAGAGGTCAAGTTTGATTTTGATCGAAATATACTGGGTTTGTTTAAATATGTTTATTTCTCTGTCTTTTCAGTATATTTTCATCTGTCGAGCTACTACCATAGGTTTATACACAATCGAATTAAATATAAAAAACCATAAATATTTCATGTGCCAAAACTAGGGAAATAACCAACCTATGCTACATCCCCACCAACCGCATCTATCTTCTTGAACATTTTTCATGGTATCCAACTATCCATGATTTCCATGTTTGTTCGCTTGAAAACTCAACCCTCTTAATTTTGTTAAAAGATTTTATTGGTTCCAACTTCCAACCATCCCCACCATCCCTACTTACTTAATGACGTATTCATAATCTCTCATCTACAAAACCCATCTTCTAGATCCGATCTTTTCCCCAATTTTACAAACCCACCCATGGTGCCACTCACTTTCTTGGAAACCCTAAAAACCCAGCCTTTATGGCTTAATTTCCTCTTTGTGTTGGGTTCTTTATCGTTTCTAAAGACTTCAACTTCAATCCTTAGATGGGTTTACGTTAATTTCTTCAGAGCTCCAAAGAATCTCAAGAAATACGGATCATGGGCACTTGTTACTGGCTCAACAGATGGCATTGGTAAAGCTTTTGCCTTTGAATTAGCTAAAAAGGGTCTTAACTTGATCTTGGTGGGTCGAAACCCTAGTAAATTAGAGGGGGTTTCATCTGAGATTAAATCGAAATTCGTTAAAACCCAAATCAAAGAAGTTGTTTTCGATCTTTCTGGCGATATATCCGAGGGTATCAAGAAGATTACTGAAGCAATTGAAGGTTTAGATGTTGGGATTTTGATAAATAATGCTGGGGTTTCATATCCATATGCTAGGTTTTTCCATGAAGTTGATGATCAACTTTTGAATAGTTTGATTAAGGTTAATGTTGAAGGGACTACAAAAGTAACACAGGCTGTTTTACCTCAAATGGTGAAGAGGAAAAAGGGTGCAATTGTGAACATTGGATCTGGTGCTGCCATTGTTATCCCATCTGATCCTCTTTATGCTGTTTATGCTGCTAGTAAAGCGTGAGTTTTCGATAAAATTTTGGTTTTACATCAAGTTTTTGGTTGCAATTATGGCTTTGATTACTGCTAATTGATGCTGTTCTTTATTTGCTGGGTATATAGACCAGTTTTTGATAAACATTTTGGTTTTTATAGCAGGGTTTGGTTGCAATTATGGATCTTGATTAGTGCTAATTGATGCTGTTCTTCATTTATTAGGAACATAGACCAGTTTTCGATAAAGATTTTGGTTTTTGTAGCAAGTTCTGTTTGCAATTATGGATCTTGATTAGTGCTAATTGATTCTGTTCTTCATTTGTTAGGAATATCAACCAGTTTACGATAAAGATTTTGGTTTTTAAAGCAGAG